CTCTTTCGGAAGCCATTCCCAATTACCTGCTGCTGAGAAAGAGGCATCTACTCCAAAGCCTGGGGTGGGAGCCAGGTCCACTTCTCTCCTTTTCTTTCAGATAGATTCTGCCTTCAAGCTTCTCCTTGCATCTGCTTCCTTCACGCTTTGGCCGACTCTTCCTGCTCCACGCAGGATCTGGCCACCCCCTAGACGCGAGGGCACAGTGCCTCGGGTTGGCTGGCCGGGAGAGACTGGCGTCTCAGGGTCCTGAGTTCCCAGGAGAATCAGGTCGCCACTCTGCTCCAGTCGTTCTGGCCTGGGAGTCATGGTCGCGGTCACCAGGGGCCCTCCTGTGGTTGCCGAAGCAGTTCTCGGGCCTGGGCCAGCCAGACTCCCTTGTTGGGCGTCTGGTCCCTAATGAGGAGTTGGGGCCCAGCTGGGCCTCAGGGACTGAAGGTGGACGGCTAGAGGTTTCTCTGGGCCCTGAAAAGGATGCTCTCTGCTCTGCTTGATCCTGTCATTTCTTAGTATGTGAAATATCACTCACCTGAGAGTCACTGCCCATAAGTTAGGCTATTTGGGTCCATGGTGAGACATGTAGGAATCGGATCTCAAACAAGTGCTCTGGGCTGCCTATAGGAAGTGGAAGGGGTAACACACTGTGGCTGATGTGCTTTGTCTCTAGGTGGGCCAGAGGGGTGTGGAGTGGGCAGAGCAGGCCTCTTGGAAGAGGAGCCCTGCACTTAGACACCTGGACTCAGCCTGTGCTCCCTGGACATCTCGGGCTCATAGCTGGAAACCCCTTTCCTGCAATGGAGGCCGGTGGTTTCCCAGCATGATGCTGTGCTTTCTTGAAGTTAATTTTTTGTTCATTATTTTAGGAAAAAAGAATAGGTACAAATGAATGGAATTGCAGGATTAGATTAACACCCAGAGTAACTAATAACTTGGATTGAGTGCTTGGTCCGCCACTGACCTGGGTAGAGCGTTTTACATGCGTTTTCTCGCTGGGGCCTCCTGGGCTCTGGGATGAGGCCTGGGCCCAGGCGCTGGTCGTGATGGACCAGGGTTTGAACTCCCTGGCCCCACCACTCAACTAGCACTCAGTTCCATCGCCTCTCAGAGCCTCAGTTCCAGGAGTAGAAGAGTCTCCCCAGCACGGGGTTGTTGTGAAGATGAATTGAGTTAGAAATGTGGCATCTAGCCCAGCTTTGTGCTGCTGCTGTTCCCTGGGTGTACCGCTGGTGTGTGTGCACAGGGGCACCTCAGTGCACGATGCTGGAGAAATGGGCAGAGTGGCATGTCCTTCAGACTGGATGTAGGAAGTGAGCTAATGACCAGTCGTGGAAGAGAGTGTGAGGATAAAATGTGGCACCTGTGTTGGAGGGCTATGTGACTTGAGAATTTACGGTGTCAGGCAACTGGGGAGAGCCAAGGCCTCTGGTTGGGGCCAGGCTGAGCAGACTGGACTCCATGTTGGGCTCCCCTTGGTGAAGACCCACAGAGCACCAGGCGTACCCTGAAAGGAGTGAAGCCCACCTCAGCCTGGAATGGGAGCAGGTTGGATCCACAGAGAACATCAGGCTGGCTGTCCCCTCTGCCCTCCTGCCACAGTGACTCTGTCAGGCTTGGGTCGAGTCACTTCAGTCAGGCTTGAGCTCATCTGAACCCAGTCTATCCAACAAGCTGGTGGCTGCTGGCATCGAGAGCCTGGCTGGGTTGGCCCTGACTCCCGGTCCGCATGAGCTGGGTCATCTGGTTTGAGGCCTGCAGCTTGAGCCGGTCTCATGCTGCCCCTTGGGCTCTCGAGCTGGCCTTGTTTCAGCCTCAGTTTCTGGATTCCCCACTTTGAAGTCTCCGAGTTTCTCCTGGGGTGTCTTTGCGGGTTCTCATCCACCAGACTCCCGGGACGCCTTCCCTTTGCTCCAGGGCTGGTTCCCCTCCTCGCAGTCCTGTCTCTTCTGCACTGGAAATTCCTCAAAGATTTTTGCTTATTAATAACCCTTCTCTCTTGTCATGGCTAATGTAGTTTGTTTTTGCTATTTTAATATTTCTTGGATTATCTCAAAGGGATGTGGAAGGGGGGCAGTTAAACATGGGAGTTCAGGTCTCCGCCATGAAACCGAGCTGGTGGCTGCTGCTTTCACTGTAGTGGAGTTTACATACTGTAAAATTCACCCATTCCAAGTGTTTAATTCTGTAACTTCTGGTGAATTTACAGAGCTGTGGGACTGTCACGATGACCCAGTTTTAGAACTTTTCCGTCACCTCGGAAAAATCCCTTGTGCCCGTTAGCAGACCGGTTGGCTGCCTCCACCCCCAGCCAACCACTGATACGCTCCTGTCTCTGTGAATTTGCCTTTTTTGGACATTTCATAAAAATGGCACCCTACAGTACAGTGTTTGGGGTCTGACCTCTTTCACTTAGCGTAATGTTTTTGGGGTTTATTCATGTTACAGTTTCTGTCAGTATTTCATTTCTTTATTGCTGGGTCCTCTTCCCCCGTATGGATCTGTCACATTGCTGACCCGCTCAGCAGAGTGTTCAGATGTTTCCAGCTTTTGGCTCTGATTAATAATTTATGTGCGTGTCTTTGTGTGGACATAGGCTTTCATTTCTTTCAAGGTAGCTACCTAGGAGTAGAATTGCTGGTCATTTGGTAAGTGTACTTTAATTTTTTAAGAAAGTACCAAACTGCTTTCCAAAGGAGCTGGACCTCCCCCCGCCCCCCCAGCAGCAGTGTACGCGGTGCTGCCTTTTCCGTGATCGCCGTCCTGGCGGGTGTGAGGTGGCAGCTCACCGTGGTTTGGATTTGCCTTTACCCGAGGCATTTCCCTTCGTCCTACCGAGACCTTCTTTCGCTAAAGGTCTCTTCCTATTTTCGTGCAGCTGCCTTCCTTCCAGACCTGCCCCAGCCACCGGTGCAGGGTCCCGGGTAACAGCGGGCACTGCTTCTCCGAGGACACGAATGATTAACAAATGAGTATTTCCAGTCCGTCCCCTTTCCCTCGTGGGCAGGGAGTTTGGACTCGGAGGAAAAACTTAGCCGACCTGTGCTTTTTTCCCCCCTTTGCTTTCTTAGTATGAAAAGGATCGAGCATTCAGAAAGGCTGAGAGACCAGGGCAGTGAACTTCTGTCAGTGGATGTCAGTTGTTGGCGTTTTGACGTGGTTGCCTTATCTCGACCTCAGCGTATTTTGTGGATTGATTTGAAATGAAGTCGCAAGCTCACTTCAGCTCCGAATTCTGTCCCACGTGTCCCCCAGATAGACTCGCTCCTACTTAATCTCCTCGCTGTTGCTCTCATGCCCCAGAAAATGAATGGTGATTCAGTATCCTCTGAAATGTCTGTATCCAGCGGTCCCCGGTTGGTCCTCAGATGTCATTTATAGCTCAGACTGGTTCCTCTCAGTGTCTTGGGGAAGACAGGAGGGAAGGTGGACGGCTCACCTTCGCCGAGGAGAATGGGGCTGACAGAAGCCAGCAGAGTGGTTGTGAGGGGATGGCCATCATGGCTTTGGAGCCGTGCACTGCCGGAGCCTGTGGCGCTCTGGCATTCCTTCTCGGGTGTTTGACGCTGTCCTTTTTGGGTGTTCGACGCTGCTCGCCATGGGCCCTTGTGGCTGAGGCTCCGGCAGCGTCACAGGCAGGGTGGAGATCTTCTCTGTCTACCTCTAGACCATCTTCCCCGGTGGGCTTCACGCGAGACCTTCCCTCCAGGGTGGATCTTCTCTGGCACCCTGGATTCGGCATATATCCCAGATGAAGCTCTTCATCTTCTACAAATCTGCTGTGCCGCCTCTGTCCCTTTCCTTGAGGACAGACACACCATCCTTCTGGCACCTCAGGCCAGACACCATTCATCCTCAGCTTGTTCTCCTCTGTCCCTCTTCCCCATCATTTTCGGCTCCTGCTGTCTCCCAGTCTGTCTCCTTCTCTCTGACTTCACTGTGACAATGTCACTTAGCACAGAGGACCTTCAGCTCTGGCCATGGTAATTGCAGTTGGCTTCCAGCTGGGCCTTCCACCTTCTCCTTTCCTTCCCCTGTTACATTCTCCCTGCTCTCCTGGTCATTTTCCTGCTGAAAAGCAGGTGGCAGTTCTGGAATGTTCAGTGCTATGATGAATGCTCTGCTAGGAGTGTGTACACACTGGCATGAGAGCATCTGGATCTGGTTCGAGATCTGGATCTGGTTCGAGTGGTCCAGGCACGATACTTAGAAGAAACGACGTTTGAGCAGGGCCTTGAATGATGATGGGATCAGGAGATAGCATGAGCGAAGGCACTAAAGCTCTCTGGGGCTCAGGTTCCTCACATGTAATATGGGTAGAAGAGGACCTGCCCAAGGCTGTTGTGAGGGTCAGTTGAGTTAATGTATGCCAAGTGCGCTGCACGTGGTGAGCACTGCACAAGTATCACCTTGCTCCTGATGAAGCGGTCGAGTGCATGGGGAGATGCGGTAAAATCCATTTGTCTTCTTTACCTGCTTTCATTTAAAACAAAGGTCAGGGTGCCTGGTGGCTCATACGATTTAAGAGTCTGGCTTCGGCTCAGGTCATGATCCTGGAGTCCTGGAATTGAGTCCCTCATCGGACTCCCCTCAGCGAGGAGCCTGCTTCTCCCTCTGCCTCCCCCTGCTTGTATGCGTTCTCTCTCTGTCAAATAAATAAATAAAATCTTTAAAATAACTAAATAAAACAAAGGCTGTAGGGTACCTGGGGGACTCAGTTGGTTAAGCCTCTGCTTTTGGCTCAGGATGATCCCAGGGTCCTGGGACTAAACCCTGCGTTGGGCTTCCTGCCCAGTGGGGGGGGCCTGTTTCTCCTGCTGCCTGCTGCCCCCTGCTCGTGCTCTCTGTCTTTGCCAAATAAATAAATAAAATCTTCAAGAAAAGGTAAAGGTCTTCTTTGTAGTCTTCTGTTCAAGCCTAGCACAATGTTCCCTGCCTCCCTCCCTGCCCCCAGTAGGATTAAGTTGAGTTTGAAACTGGTTTTCATGAGCACCCTTGCCTTGCAGGACTTCTCCAGACAGGTTATGTCACCGACAGAGGCTGCCCTGAAGCTCCCTGCGGCCCAGAGACTATGTACAAGAGGAATGGTCTGATGGCTAGCGTGTTGGTCACCTCCGCCACTCCACAGGTACAGGGGCTGTGAGAATCGGGACCATGGGTGGGAGTAGGGGGCTCCTTTCAGTGGACCCAGGCCTCAGCTAAGTGGTGAACAGCAAGGAAGCAAGGCTCCATGAATACCACCATTCTTAGCTCTCCGGAGGCCCTTGGCCACACCAGGCGTGAGATTTGGGAGGCCGTCAGCCCTGAGGATCAGTCCGTTTTATGCAGTCGTTCTCTTCAAAGAAAAACAAACACCTGCCCAGTCCAGTTGTGGCAAGTGCCACATTCCATTTTGGTGGCAAGATGGGATCAGACCTTTCCCAAGAAAAGCTGCTGCTGATTATAAATAAGTCACACATTCCAGAATGAAGTCAGACAGAAGTGATTCCAACTGGCCCCGTGTTCTTGTTTACCTTGCTCAGTAGGAGATGGCTGTAAGGACTGGTGGTCTGAGAGTGGCCTGGGCTAGGGCCCCTGCCCTGGCTTTGGGGGGTGTAGGGATTTGTTTTCCAAGTGCAGTGATAGAACAGAGACACACAAGAGGAGCGGCTGTCATCAGGCCCAGGGATGCCACCTGGCTGAATGTGTATGCCTGGCCCCCATGACCACTGGCGAGGGAACGCGCAGTCCCTCACAGCGGAGCTGGGCTTTTGAAATGATCCTGTGTGACCAGCTAGAAATTCACAGGAACCTATTCATATCTTACAAACCTTTAAAAAATTCCTTATTTTGATCTCTGCTTCTGAAAACAGACTTGTGAGTCCTTTTAAAATTCCCCAATGGTGCCAATACAGATTTAAATGAAGTTACTGCCTCATCGTCACCACCACCACTAGTGTATTTGGGGCAACACTGGATTCAATAAGGCCTCTTGTATGAGCGTGTGTGTCTGGGTCAGATGCAATGGGGTGTTACAGGAAAGTTACAAAACCTGAAATCCCGGGAATGGACTGTTTGGTAACTGGAGGAAATCAGGCTTCTGTTTTCATTTACAATTTACACTTCATCTAGAGTAAAACGTCTGTCTTTTCTGATCTCTCTGTGCGTACGTGCTGCGTACACATAGACACGTGTGTATTGTGTGTGGGCGCAGATGTGTGTGTATCTGGAACATGGTAAGCAGGAGGAGGTAAATAAACTGGCTTATATCACACAGCTGGCCAGCAGTAGGTGGAGATTCACAGTCAGGCCCTGTGACACTCAAGCCAGTGCTCCTAACCCTGACGACACTACACGGAGGAAAACCACCCTGTCACCTGACTTGATTACTTTCTGAAAGGTGGGTGTGGCAATGCAGGGATTTCCAGGTGATCGCCTGCTTGGAGCCTGTGCACAAGACCGAGGGCAGAACAGACTGCCAGTTTCAGACGCGTTCAAGGTTCGTCTTTGTTACTTCTCAGAAGTTCAGCACAGATTCTCCTCAGGGGAGAATGTCCCATCGTTCAGGGAACTTCTGAAATAGCCACGGCCGAGCCCGCCCAGGCCCCTTGAATCAGCGTCTCCTGGGGAGGGGGATTCTGCCCTCTGCTTTGTTAGCTTCACTGTATATAACCTGTCCACAGCCCTGGGCGGGGGGCGGGGGGGGGCTGCCTATGGTGCCATTTTCCAGAGCGCTCTAAGACGGTCAGGTGAATAGCTTGTGTGAGGTCGGGCAGCCGCTGGCGTGGAGCTGGCTTCCCACCAGGCATGACTTCAGAGCTCTCAACCACCATGGTGTGCTGCTTCTTCAGATCACCTTCGACTTTTGGGTATAGCAGCCTCCTTCGTAAAACCTTTCAGTGACACAGGCCTACTGAGATCTACAGGTCTGCGTTTCCGCTCCTCCTTTTAACCTCACATTCTTGGTTGTTGACTGTTGGTTTCCCTCACTGGCCTAAAAACACTCTAGTTTCCAGTAAGATTGCAAAGTTTTTCCAGATATAGCCTTTTTGGAAAGAGTGAAATAAAGAAGAATTAATAAAAGCATGTTCTCTAAATCCCAGCCCAAGATATTGAGGTTAATGGAAAGCACAAAATCCCTCTTCATGGGTTGAAACAAATAAAACCGTTTATGAACAGGGCACAAGTTTTGGGTGGTAAGTTTGAATGGTTCCCCAAAGTAGAGTTTGATGAAATTAAATAAAATCGAGGAGAAGGTATGTTCAACATTCTGGGATCCCCACAGGGTTGGGCTTCATAAAACTGGCCACATTTGGGGAGTTTTAATGTGCTCTTTTATGGGAGACCCCTTCTGTCCATGCAGGGCTCACGGGGTTCACCTTAATAAGGGACCCTACTAAATATAACTTGCACGCCCGTCTCCAAAGCCAGTTGGTTACCTCTCACCTCATCAGCAATCTGGTTTTTGAATTCCAAATGGCCCATATATGAAATAAGCCTTGAGAGCCAGTTTAACATTTTGTATAAGAGTTTTCTGCAGTGACTTCCAGAAAACAAAAACAACAACAACAAAGGTGAAACTAGGTAACGTTTGAGAGACAGAACAAGACCGATGATTGCCTCAGGCCTCCTGAGCTGTGAAGTCCCGTTCTCTCTAAAGGAAGAGTGGGCTCTGTCTTTTTACCCCACCAGCTACACAGCAGGCTGGAAGCCGTTGGGGGCCATGATCGAGGGTGGGCGAAGCTAGGTTCACCTCCTGGCTCTCCGGTTTCCTGGCTGTGATACCTTGGGGACGTGGCATTAATTAATTAATTAATTAAAGAATTAAACAGGACTGTGCATATGAAGTGCCCAACGCGGTGCCTGGAATGGGGTACAGCAGTGGGCAGTAGGAGCTTTTCTTCCGTGTGTGCGTCCTCGGTCTGGGCGTGGGAGGTAGCGAGTCTGCAGTAAGCCCGACTGCTCAGGCGGCACCCTCTCTCCCTGTCCTCCACAGGGCAGCAGCAGCTCAGACTCTCTGGAGGGCCAGAGCTGCGACTATGCCAGCAAGAGCTACGATGCCGTTGTCTTCGATGTCTTGAAAGTGAGTCCCGAGGAGTTTGCTGTAAGTAACAGAACTGATGTGAGTGTCTGGGCACCAAAACGGTGCGACAGGGGCTAGGAAAAACCGGTTGGAAACGACCCATATGCCCAACCGTAGGGTCTGTGGGATATGATATTCTTTATGAAATACTAGGTAGCATTAGAAAGGATGCCATCAATCTCGAATTAACCACCTTGGAAGTCATGTGCGGTGTATACGAATAGTCAAAGGGACAAGTTACAGCACCATTAACAGAGAACAGTGCCGTTTTTAAAAAGCACATGCAATGCACACATACTTATATCTGCAGAAGAAGAGGTCTACATTTGATATTTATGTATTCATAGCTATCTGGATATAAACAGCCAAACTTTATTTACTGTAACTTCTGGTTGTTGTAGGATTCTAGTTAGTTGGAATTTAATTTTACTTCTGTTTGTTTCTTTTTGTTTGCCTTCTGCATTTTTTTTTTAAAGATTTTATGTATTTATTTGACACACAGAGAAAGATCACAAGTAGGCACAGAGGCAGGCAGAGAGAGAGGAGGAAGCAGGCTTCCTGCTGAGCAGAGAGCCTGATGCGGGACTCGATCCCAGGACCCTGAGATCATGACCTGAGCCGAAGGCAGAGGCTTTAACCCACTGAGCCACCCAGGCACTTTGCTTTCTGCATTTTTACGATGACTTTTCTATGATAAAAAAACCACAATGAGATACCACCTTACACCAGTCAGAATGGCTAAAATTAACAAGTCAGGAAATGACAGATGCTGGCGAGGATGCGGAGAAAGGGGAACCCTCCTACACTGTTGGTGGGAATGCAAGCTGGTGCGACCACTCTGGAAAACAGCATGGAGGTTCCTCAAAATGTTGAAAATAGAACTACCCTATGACCCAGCAATTGCACTGCTGGGTATTTACCCTAAAGATACAAACGTAGTGATCCGAAGGGGCACGTGCACCCGAATGTTTATAGCAGCAATGTCTACAATAGCCAAACTATGGAAAGAACCTAGATATCCATCAACAGACGAATGGATAAAGAAGATGTGGTATATATACACAATGGAATACTATGCAGCCATCAAAAGAAATGAAATCTTGCCATTTGCGACGACGTGGATGGCACTAGAGGGTATCATGCTTAGCGAAGTAAGTCAATCGGAGAAAGACAACTATCATATGATCTCCCTGATATGAGGGAGAGGAGATGCAACATGGGGGGTTAAGGGGGTAGGAGAAGAATAAATGAAACGATGGGATTGGGAGGGAGACAAACCATAAGTGACTCTTAATCTCACAAAACAAACTGAGGGTTAATGGGGGGAGGGGGGTTGGGGGGGTAGGATTATGGACATTGGGGAGGGTATGTGCTATGGTGAGTGCTGTGAAGTGTGTAAACCTGGCGATTCACAGACCTGTACCCCTGGGGATAAAAAGATATTATATGTTTAAAAAAATAAAAAAAATAGTATTTTGTAATAATACATTTTTTTAAAAACTGTTTTTTCTTCAGCCAGTGTGTTTCTCCCGGTCTGACTGAGGGCTGTTCCTTGTGGTGGAGACGCCAAGTTGGCTTCTCGTTTTGCAGTGACTTGCTTTCTTCCTTTTGTGCTGTGAAGGTAGAGGAGTATTGCCTGTGGGGTGACCTGGAACCTGACTGCAAGCACTGTCCTGGGGCTGTAATTCTCTGCAGCACCACTGGCCTGTTTACTGCCATGCCTGCTTCCTCCCTGTCCCCTTTGCTGTAACAGGTTTTGTGCCCTCCAGGATACTGTGGGAGCTAACGGGGCCGCGTCTCAGCCTTCTGCTGTTGCCGGCCCCCATGTTTATTTTGTGCCGTGCTGAGCCTGGCATCACCTCTTTCAGCGTAGCCAAGGGATCATTCTAAAAAGATGTAAAGCTCTAGCAGCTGCCTCCTGTGAGAATGAGACCCTGTGTTCCTCCCAAGGCCTCCAGGGCCCCCTGTGGTCCGGCCGAGTCTCCTCTCCTGCCCCCATCTCTGTGCTTTGTGCTCCCCAGCTACACCTCTAACCCAGACTCACCCAGCGTCCCCCTGCCACAGGGCCCTGCGCTTCTCTTCCTTCACTCCTACTGGCTCTTCTCCACGTGTCTCTGTGTCTGTCCTTGGCCTAAAGTGGCATCTCTCCATCACTCCTTTCCCTTATCCTGCTCCAGTTTCTTCATATTTCTTATTCTTACCCAACATTACATTATATAATAATTTTTTTTTGTGATATATCTTCTCTGGAATAGAAACTCTTTAAGGACAGGAGCTTTATCTGACTTGTTCATTGCTTTTTTCCAGTGCCCCGAATGGTGCCTAGCTCATAGTTGGTACTCAGTGAATACATGTAGACTGAAAGAACTCGGTCTTCAGAATGACCAATGAAGCAGATTATTAGCTCCTGATTTTCTAATAAAGAAGTGAAGAATCTAAGAGATTATTATTTTATTTTATTTTTTGCCTGGAACATATAGCCAGGTATGGGCAGAGCCAGGTCTAAAACCTTCACCTCCTGATTATTCACCTAATGCTGGACAGTAATATTAAGGACAGCTCCCATTTTTGAACACCTGCCATGTCTAGTTTTTTTTTTTTTTAAAGAGAGTTGTGTTTTTTTTTTTAAGACTTTATTTGTCAGAGAGAGAGAGAGAGAGCAAGCAGGGGAGCAGCCGGCAGAGGGAGAAGCAGGCTCCCTGTTAAGCAGGAGCCCCATGTGGGACTCAATCCCAGGACCCTGAGATCACAACCTGAGCTGAAGGCAGACGCTTAAGTGACTGAGCCACTCAGGCATCCCCCGTGTCTAGGTCTTATGCTTAAGTGCTTTACATGCATTATGTAATCTACTTCTCACATCAGCCTGATAAATTAGGTGTATTTATTATTCCCAATACACTGATGAGCATGTCAGTGCTTAAAGAGGAAAATCACTTCTTCATACAGAGAGTAAGTGGCACTGTCTATCTGGGATTTAAAACCAGGGCTGGCATTCTAGACCAGTACCATCCGACAGGAATACAATCTGAATCACATGTGCAATTTTATTTAATTAATTAATTAATTATTAAAATTTTAAAATTCCAGTATGGTTAACACATAGTGTTATATTAGTTTCAAGTGTATAATATGGTGATTCAACAGTTCCATATATTACTTACTAAGGTCATCATGATAAGTATGCTCTTTAATCCCTTTCACCTGTTCCTCCCATGCCCCCAGCTACCTCACCTCTGGTAACCATCAGTTTGTTCTCTATAGTTAAGAGCGTGTTTTATTTTTTATTTTTTAAAAGATTTTATTTATCTGAGAGAGAAAGAGTGAGCGAGAGAGAGAGAGCATTGGGGGGGGGAGGGTCAGAGGGAGAAGCAGGCTCCCCACTGAGCAAGGAGCCTGATGTGGGACTTGATCCTGGGACTCCAGGATCATGACCTGAGCAGAAGGCAGTCGCCCAGCCAACTGAGCCACCCAGGTGCCCAAGAGTCTGTTTTTCGCTTTGTCTCTTTTTTTTCTTTGTTCATTTGTTTTGCTTCTTAAATTCCACACATGAATGAAATCATATGGTATTTGTCTTCCTCTGACTATTTCGCTTAGCATTATACCCTCTAGATCCATCGATGTTGCAAATGGCAATAATTTATTCTTTTTTATGGCTATATAGTATTCCTTGTATATTTGTACCACATGTTCTTTATCCATTCATCTGTTAATGAACACTTGGGCTTTTTCTTTAATTTGGCTATTGTAAATAATGCTGCTATAGACATAGGGGTGCACATATTCTTTCCAATTACTATTTTCGTATTCTTTGGGTAAATGTCCAGTGGTGCGATTACTGGATTGTAGGGTAGTTCTATTTTTAATTTTTTGAGGACCCTCCATTGTCTTCCACAGTGGCTGCATGGAGTTTGCATTCCCACCAACAGAGCAAGAGAGTTCATTTTACTCCATATCCTCACCAACACTTGTCGTTCCTTGTGTTTTTTATTTTAGCCATTCTGACAGGTGTGAGCTGATATCTCCTTGTGGTTTGGATTTGTGTTTCCCTGATGATGAGTGATGTTGAGCATCTTTTCATGTGTCTGTTGGCCATCTGGATTTTTTTTTTTTTTTTTTTGGGAGAAATGTCTGCTCCTGTCTTCTGCCTATTTTTAAATTGGATTATTTGGGGTTTTGGTGTTGAGTTATATCAGTTTTTTCTGTATTTTGGATATAACCCTTTATGGGATATGTCATTTGCAAATATCTTCCCCATTCAGTAGGTTGTCTTTTAGTTTTGATTTTTTGTTTTGTTTTTTTTTGCTCTTAGAAGCTTTTTATTTTGTTGTAGTCCCAATAGTTTATTTTTGTTTTTGTTTCCCCCTTGCCTCACAAGACTTACCTAGGAAAATATTGCTGTGGCTGATGTTGGAGATCTACAGCTAGATCGCCATCCTTCTACTTCCCAGTAGTCTGAAAGCAAAGTAAAAAACAATGCTGGAACTTTATCAGTAGATCGTGGACAGCTTTCTAGGTCAACATGTGTAGATTTAATTTTCTATTTTTATTTATTTATTTATTTATTTATTTAATTTAATTTGACAGACAGAGATCACAAGTAGGCAGAGAGGCAGGCAGAGAGAGAGAGAGGAGGAAGCAGGCTCCCTGCAGAGCAGAGAGCCCGATGCGGGGCCCGATCCCAGGACCCTGGGATCATGACCTGAGCCGAAGGCAGAGGCCTCAACCCACTGAGCCACGCAGGCACCCCTAATTTTCTATTTTTAAAGATTTTTTTATTTTTTAAAGATTTATTTATTTTCTATTTTTAAAGATTTATTTATTTGATGCTACCCATGCACAAGCAGGGGAGGGGCAGAGGGAGAGGGAGAGAAAATCCCAAACAAACTCCCCACTGAGCATGGAGCCCAGATCACGGCTTGGTCTCATGACCCTGAGATCCTGACCTGAGCTGAAATCGAGAGTCAGACGCTCTGGGATGCCTGGGTGGTTCAATCCGTTAAGCATCTGCCTTCAGCTCAGGT